GATATCATGAAGCACATCATATTATGAATAAGATATCATGAAACACATCATATCATGAATCTGATATCATGAAGCACATCATATCATGAATCAGATATCATGAAGCACATCATTAATCAGAAATCATGATGCACATATCATAAACCAGATATCATGATACACATTATATCATACATCAGATATGGTGCACATCATATCATGAGTCAGATATCATGAAACACATTATATCATAACCTGATATCATGAAGCACATCATATCAAGGACCTGATATTGTGATACATATCATACCATGGACCTGATATTGTGATACATATCATATCATGGAACTGATATCTTATACATATCATATCATGGACCTGATATTGTGATATATATCATATCATGGAACTGATATTGTGATACATATCATATCATGGAACTGATATTGTGATGCATATCATATCATGGACCTGATATTGTGATACATATCATATCATGGACCTGATATTGGGATACATATCATATCATGGACCTGATATTGGGATACATATCATGGACCTGATATTGTGATACATATCATATCATGGACCTGATATTGTGATACATATCATATCATGGAACTGATATTGTGATACATATCATACCATGGACCTGATATTGTGATACATATCATATCATAACCTGATATCATGAACCACATCATATCAAGGACCTGATATTGTGATACATATCATATCATGGACCTGATATTGTGATACATATCATATCATATCATGGAACTGATATTGTGATACATATCATACCATGGACCTGATATTGTGATACATATCATATCATGGAACTGATATTGTGATACATATCATATCATGGACCTGACATTGTTACACATATCATATCATGGACCAGACACTGTTACACATATCATAATTGGGCCTGGATAATGTTATATTATGATAGTTTTTGCATTGTGTCCAACTGATTATGGCAATGATCATCACTGATCATTGGAAAAGATTTTAGTGATGCTGTCATATTAACAGAAAATTATAACACCTGGTTGAAGAATATATATATATATATAGTTTAATGCCACTATGGACAGTATTACAGTTATGACATGGCTCATAAATTTAATATAGGAGTGAGTGAGTATGGGTTTAGCAATCTTCCAGCAATATCATGGTGGGGAACCCAGAAATGGGCTTCATGCATTGTACCCATGTGGGAATCGAACCTGGGTCATATGGCACGTATTACAGGAAAGTTTATGATTTTGTCTGCCCGTCTTGGCACAGAATTATTTTGTGAGAGCTTATTTATTCCTTATAAACAGCATCATATCATGAACTGAATACGTCTTTTACTAACATGTCTAAAAATTTTAGGTCACTTATGTATTTGTAAAATAATTGACTTTGTCAAAATGAATCCAGTGTTAATCATTTAGTTTGCTGTTTAATGCAACACACAGCATTATCCCACTAATGATAACAACAGTCTGTAAACATTAAAATCTGGACCAGACAATCCTGTGACTGATACCATGAGCATTGATTCACATTACACATCTGCAGCGTACTGCACTAAACAATGTCAATGAGTCCGACAATCTCATTTATTGTCCTGCTATGACCACCATATTTTGCACCTGTAAAGATCCGGGTTAGAATTGATCTTCAGTAACCCATGCTTGTCGTAAGAGGCGACTAACAGGATCGGGTGGTCAGGCTCGCTGACTTGGTTGACACATGTCATTGTATCCCAATTGCATAGATCTATGTTCATGCTGTTGATCTCTGAATTGACTGGTCCAGACTCGATTATTTACAGACCACCGCCATATAGCTGGAATATTGCTGAGTGCCGCGTTAAACTAAACTCACTCACTCACAAAATTTTGCTGGGGATGTATATTCTGATCCAGAAGTATCAATATCAATTGTTTTGTACAGTTGTGTTTATGAAGATACACCTGTCATAACATTTTACTCACAGGATGGGAAAACTACAGGAGTTCCTCATAAAATAGAACACATGAAAGTAAAATAGCACTAATTATTTGGGGTATTTCCTACATGACACATGTTCCAAGGCAGATCATAAAAAGACAAACCACAAGTTGGTTGATGGCAGAAGTCAGCACGGGACCAGCCATCTACCAGCGAAGGAGTTTGCAGTATTATTCCTCTTTGCTTCCTCACAATCACCATGTTACCATGGTTACTGGCTGACATCAAATTAGTGACAGAAATTATGCATTATATTATTATTCAGACACAATTATTCAAGCAGTGCCTCATTTCATGAAAGGAAATACAAGGTACCCTGACACAGACTCAGCAGTAATCAAAGCATATGAACAACAGAGGGGGAATCACTACTGAATTATGCAAAATGACTGGCAGTTAATAACTAAAAGCTTAGATATTGATCTGCAACAAAGAAATATTGGTATAACATAAGGTTAAAAGGTACATATTGACATATGAAAGGAAATATATCTTATACAAATCAAGTCTACTGTATGCTCAACAGGATCAGAACAAAGAAAATATGTACAGGAATTCTCTTCACACCTGTCTTTCTCATGGACAGAGCAGGTGCTTGCTTGTGTTGCACTTTGCAAGAAAAAAAGTAACAAGCAAGTTCTTTTCAAAATATGAGAATATTTTTTTACAGAAATTATTGCTGCATCCCACAGAATTACTAAATCATAATGAAATATTAGAATCTTTGGCCTATAATTCTTGTAATGCCCTATCTATTTCAATGACACAAATACTCAGAAAAGACCAGAAAAGTCTAATTATTGCCATTTTGCTTAGCTATGAAAGTCCTCTCTCAGAATATGCTTGAGGTTCTGTGATACACATGACATTTTCATTGTAAACTGAACATGTGCAGTACCGGTACATCCCTGGGATGCACAGGTCGATTATTTTGGCCACTTGGAGAACAAGCAAGCATATTTCATTTAATTCAAACACATTTGCTTATCTCTTTACTTGGAATTAATTGTAGTACATGAATTACTACATAAACACAATTAATAATGCCAAACAGAAATAATATAAGAGCTTGACACATGACACTTCTTGGTTTTTTACAGACATTTTGAAAAAGGACACCTCAAATACAAATGTACTTGTACAGGAAGCATAATCAGAAATTCCATTCCACATTTGTTCAAAAGGGGATTCAAGTATTCCACTATCATAAGCAATTAAGCATGAGTCAGGATAAGGAAAAATACAATTTAAGGACATTTTCTGGGATTTATTTGATCACAGATCGCCTGGCATAATTTGTATAAAAAATAGTTGGAATCACAATATACACTAGTTGTTTCAAAGTGTCACACATTCAAAGTAGTTGGTGATTACTTAGTGTGTAAGTTTTGTCTGGACAGTACCGGTTAAGTTCTGTACCTTGTCCTTGACAACAAAAGGTTGACATTGAAGGTGTCTCATAGAGACTGATGACACCTCAAATCTCTGTGGCAACAAAAAATCTGTGATCAAACAAATAAAAGTGTAATAACCAGTTAGTGATGAATGCATGATGCATTTTATGGATAACAAATTCTTTTTCATCTCTTTATATGACGTTTCAGAGCTAATTCTTGCTCCTTTTTCAGGAGAAGGCCGAGTAAATGCACAGAGTGAAGTACATACAGATGGATTATGTTTACCGAGAGATAATGTTCGAGAGTGAGTGAGTTCGGTTTTACGCAGCTTTTAGCAATATTCCAGCAATATCATGGCGGGGGACACAAGAAATGGGCTTCACTCATTGTACCCATGTAGGGAATCAAACCCGTGTTTTCGGCGTGACGAGCGAACACTCTAACCACCAGGCTACATTGTTATCTTTGTACATTCTCCAACCTTGTGTTGTGTAATCATGTTCTATTTTTATATTCACTCGTGCATTCACTGATGAAAGAGCAAAAATTAGCTCTGAAACATAGTATAAAGAATTTTAAAAAGTTGTTACCAATAAAACATGTCTTGTATTCATGTTCATCCAACTTCTATATGCCGTTCAAGAACTTCAACCACTGATGATATCAATATCAAATTATGGCAAAACTACAAAGAATTGTATTTCAGTTGTCAGTTTCAATAAACTTGTCAAGAGTGAGTCGGAGAGTTGTGTTTTGCAATATTCCAGCAATAACACGCTGAGGGACACCATAAATGGGCTTCACACATTGTGCCCATGTGGGGAATCGAACCCGGGTCTTCGGCTTGACGAGCAAACGCTTTAACCACAAGGCTACCCCACCGCCCCCTACTTGTCAAGATATATCCTCAGTATCTTCCAAACTTCTCTATGCTGTCTGTACCATCTCTGAACAGGATATTTTCAGTGCAAGAATCAGTGAAAAAGAATGAAGAAGTATGAAACGTTAAGACTTCATACTGCACTTACTTTGTCAAATTGGTAAAATGTGTACACAAAACAATGTTTCTCATGCCTGATCTTTTGCCTTATTTCATCTTTTCTTTTAAAACTACTTGGTTTCTGGACTCATTTTGCATTACCGGTAACTAAAAGAGTTTCTTACATTCATTAATGAATAGGAACGATTTTTCTTATTACTGAAATTTCTGAAATCATGGGTAGAAGAAAAGGCAACCCTGTTCCTATAATATTCGTGTAATTAGTTTTTATTCCCCCATTTGAGGAGTCGATTCATCCATAAACAAAATGAAAACAAAAACACCTTTATCGTGACCAAATAATCTCACGAACTTGACAATGAACATCTAAATTGTTCTGTATCATTCCTGATTGAGCTGACAACAAAACAGAGTATCTCACAAATACAAATAAGTCTGAACACGTACAAAACTCTTGCAAAAAAAAATAATATTCCAAACATGGAACTCAAAGACATGCATATAACATCAGCCATGTCCATATGCCTTATTTATATTCACGACTGTACAAGTGAAGGTCTTGTCCGTAACTTCCAGAATTGCCTCCCATGACTGCATGAACTGGAGATCGAGGATCAAACTCTGACGGGACTTCCATTTGCCCTTGAAACCCAGGTGGAAGTGTGCGTAAGAGCAGAAAGCTCGTTTTTGGCAGCAAAACGTGAATAATCAACTTCAGACAAAGCTTGGCCTGTGATGTATGCTTCTTTAATTGGAGGGCGGGGAGAAAAATGTCCATCTCTGTGGATAGTGCTTGAAAAAACATCCTTGCTGATAAATCGTGGGAAAACACCAGCTCGATCAGTGTCAAGATTTTCTTTCATAGGGTATCCACGATAATCTGACTGAGTGTCCCGGACTTGATAATCGGTGTCTCTGATTGGAGGAAAACTACCTTCCCGACTGGCTGGAAAAGTTGTATCTCTGACTGGTTGAAAGCTTGTCTCTCGAACAGATGAAAAACTGTCTCGACTTTGTTGAAAGTCCCCCTCCTGCACAGACTGGTATTCTGGATCTCTTGCTGCATGGAAATCTGATTCCCTTGACTGAAACTCTCCATCCCTAACAACTTGCTTAGATGTAAAATCATTGTGGGTAGCCTGTGATGTGTCGTAATCAAGCCGTGTGTAATCAACTTCGCGTTTTGGCAATTCTGGTGTGAAGGTTTCTTGAGCAGGAGAATTAGAATTGAAGTCCCTTCCAACATACCCAGGCGGTAGGTCAGCAGGCCGCGTGACAATCTGACTTTCCCTCCGCTCAACGAAACTGAAGTCCTCCACATTGTTACCTACTGACTGCCCACCAGCAAATTTTTCACTGAAACTGGCCTGGTCTGCTGTTCCTCCAGTATCTTTAGGTACGTCATCAGGATCATCAACTTCTCCATCGGATGAGTCCTCTTCTTTGTTGGGTACTGTTGTGATGATCCCGTCACCATTTCACTATATCTTTGGTTAATACTTGCAATTTGGTCATCGGTATAGTCCAATCCTTTGGACTTCCTGAACCGTGTTCTCTTCCGACCTCTTTTAAAGTTGACCGGGAATCCTTCTTTCTTGTTCTTCTTCTCGTTCTCCAGGCTTTCTGGATGATCTGGGAACAATCCCATGTTTTTTCAAATGCCAGTTTAGTGCTGCCCTCTGCCTACACTTATAGTCACACTCAGAACATTTAAATGGCTTCTCATCATTGTGAATCCTCATATGAACAGTGAGGTGTTTCTTAGCATAGAAGCTTCGCTCACATCCTTGCCACGGACACGGAAACAGACGAAGCTTCAGATGAACCATGTTCACATGGGTAGCCATAGTTTTCCTAAATGCAAATTTCATTTCACAGCCTTCATATGGACAGGCATGTCTTTTGATTTTCAGATGCACAGTGTTATAATGGCGCTTGTACTGAGCATCACTGGAAAACTTGCTTGCACAGCCTTCAAAATCACACACAATGTTCTTCTCCTTGTGAGTAAGCATATGTTTCCGGAGTGAGTGCTTCAAGAAGTACTCATTCCCACACTGATCACACATGTAGGTTTTCATATTCGATTCCATTATGCCATGGGCATCCATCAAATGTTTCTGGACGTTGACCACAAAACGGAACTGTTGTCCACAGATGTGACACAAGGTGGTTCCAGGGATGGTCTGCTCATCCTGGTGTTCTTTCCTCATATGTCGCTTCAGCTCCATGCGCGTCCGTCCTGTGAAGAAACAATGATTACATTTGTGATTTGCAGGATGCTTTTTACTTTGGTGATGACCAAGCGCTTGCAATGAATAGAATTTGTGAGTACACAGATTGCAGTCGATGACATAATGTGATTCCAAGTGTTCTTTGCCTTCCTCCTTGTTTGTGAAACTGTTGTCACAAACAGTGCAACTGAAAACACCCGACTTCTTCATAAGTTTTGGCTTCTGTGAACGTGGAATTTGTTTCGGTTCTTCCTCACCAACACTATCCTTCCTGGTCTTTCTTGGTCTTCCCCTTGGAATCTTCTCCCGCTTCACCTCCACTTCCTCCTCCACTTCAGTCGACTCCTCAGCTGACGTACTCACCCTCCTTCTCAGAGACCTTCGACTTTTCACAACGGCAGTTTTCGAGTTCTGTCTAGACACCCGTCGAGATCGTCTTCTCCGAGGCTTATCTTCTTCTATTGCAGGCATCCAATCACTATCAGAGTCCCTCTTTCTCTTCGACCTTTTGGCATCTGACTCTGACTCACTGCCTTTCAGGAGCTTCTCAAGCTCTTCCTCTGACAGAAATTCATTTCCTTCTTCTCTGTCTGGGTCATCTTCTTCAGTTTCATCGTCTGATAATTGACTTCTGTCTTCCTTTGCATCTAAAGAGTCTCTTGAACCCAATTCCTCATTTTCCATATCATCTTGGTCCCATTTAAGTCATTCAGCATCATACCCTTCCAGTCCAGGTTCCATTTCACCTCTCTCATGTGCAGCAATAGCTTCATTCTCATCCTCAAGATATCTAGAAACTCGTGATTTTGGCTGTTTTCTTCTTGATGACTTCTTGCTGTTGTACCCTTCAGAGAAGCCATTTTTGTTGGACTCTGATTTTTTCTCTGATGCACTCTCACCAAAGTTCTCGCTGACATCCCCATACAACGAACAGGTGCTTGAGTCCCTGGTGTCCTGTGAATCCATGAGAGACGAGTTACCAGAATGGGATGTCAGACTGCTCCGAGCACCAGTCCCTGGCATCGAGGCAGGCCGTTTCCTGCAGCAGAGCAAATAAAAATAGGATTTACATGTGTCAGTACTTGTGTGTGAATAGGGTTTCATGCCTCTTTAAACATGAGTGAATTTAGTTTTACGCCGCACTCAGTAGTATTCCAGCTATATGGCGGCAGTCTGTACATAATCGAGTCTGGACCAGGCAATCCAGTGATCAACAGCATGAGCATCGATCTATGCACTTGGGATATGATGACATGTGTCAACTAGGGGCTCCTTTCACGAAGCAACCTTTACTAAGGTTAACCTTAACTCCCATTGTTTAACATTGCACTAAGGTTACCTTAGTGACTTAAGATCACCTTAGTTCTTTGTGAAAGGAGGCCCAGTTATCCAGACTGTGTCAAATGCTTTTGTGAAATCTACAAAAGCACAATATAAATTTCTTTTTCTAAGGGTCAAAATATTAGTTAGAATTTGAAGAACAAAACTATTATCTGAGGTTGTGAAATGCTTTCCAGGTCTGTGAGCCTGACCACCAAATCCCATTAGTCGCCTCTTACGACAAGCATGGGTTACTGAAGATCAATTCTAACCCAGATCCTCACAGGTCCTCTTCAAACAGTAATATTAGTGTGTCAGTTTGATGTTGAAGGAAAATCTGCAGCGGTGTAGGTCTTAGACATTTACCACCTTTACCAGTGAAGTAAAACCCATCAGACCAGATCTGGTGCCGACAAAAAAACATAATCACTGCCACAAAGGATATGAGCCTAAATTATAGGTTTCTGGTACACAAATCCACACATTGAAATGAAGTGCCTTTGACTAAGTTACAGTATTTTAGGAGCTGAATTATCTTCATGCCAAAGACCCAGATTCGATTCCCCACATGGATACAATGTGTGAAGAATCACAGTGCCTTATGCAGTATTTTAGGAGCTGAATTTTTATGAATATCCTTCAATATTCAGCCTCTTCAGGGACACGGATGCCCCCGCTGCTGTAGGAAGAGTTCCCTACACGAGTGTGCTCTGGTGATTAATTTCTACTAAATAAATATCATGGTTGATTATAAAATAAATACGAACAGGATGAATAGAACCAACTTCAACTAAGTTCAAACATCTGTAGAAGTGACAAAATTAAGAAATTGGATGAACAAGGTATGAGATGCACACCTGTAGAGTCCCAATGAAACACACGTAGAAGCTCAATCAATTCTGTTGAGCAGCTTTTGTGGAGAAGTGGATAGACTTCATCCCCTATAACACTATCATCATAGAGAAATTAGGCAAAATGTACCTAAGGTCAAATGTTTTTAAACTTACAAAAAAAACAATAAAATACAAAAACAAAATATGAGATGCACACCATTCGAGTCCCAAGAAAGCCCATGTATAAGTTCATTGAATTCCACACAGCGTTTTTTGTGGAGAAGTAGATAGAGTACATTCCCTGTTTCGTACGGACGGACATACGGACAGACACGGAGGGTAACCTTATGTACTCCCAGCCATATATGGTGGGGGCATAAAAATATATGAGTCCGATAAGGCAAATAAGTTAACACTATTTTCAGTCTGTTCTTGGCAAGATACCTTCTTAATACATTATCTGTAGTTCTTACATTTAAGTGATAACTTTCTCCATGTTTACTTCAAGTGTTACAGAGGGCACAAGTTGCTCAGCCATCGAAAACACCACATTGCCCTGTGCAGTCTCATCCCTTGGGCATGTGAAAAACCCATGATCATGGGTTTAAATCCAGGTTTGACCCAATTATGTAGCTGTGATTGTCAGCACCATACCCATGATAAACATCACAGATGTGAATCGTTTCAGATCTCCCAACATTATTTACCTGACGACACACTGTGACATAACTAGAACATTGTTTATGGCAAATTTAAACACAAATCACTCACTCAAAAGTTAAATTTAAATTTCTTTTCATCCCTCCTGCTTCCAAGAAAATGAAAAAACATTAAATGACTTTTCCACTGAGGCCTAAAAAAAATAAATGTTGTGGTTCCGATTACCCGACCGACCCTTGAATTCTGGTGCCGACCATATTTGTTTTAAGCAGAATGAATAAAATAAGCTTTCATTGTTTTTTCCCCGGCACCAACAGATATCTGTCATTCTGATAGAGAAAGTCGATATGATGGCCGCAAGCTTGATTGAATAAACAATTACACATTGATAAATGTGTTATTAGTTTGTACTTTACTTCTAAAAGAAATATGTAAAAAAAAAAAATTGGAACCACAACATTTTTTTTATTTGGCCTGATCTGAAAAGCATTGCATCAAATAAGTGCCATTACATATGTTATTATTAGCCACTGTCTATATGGCACAAAGATTATATGTTCCTCACAACTCATAATTATCAGGCTGCAGTGGATTTGTTGCAGCTGTACTGATTACCAGAATACACTTTGATCACTCATCAGTACACTTACCGCTGCTCAGTAATCCGAGTGCTGCCTTTACCCATAGAAGACTTAGATTCAAGCTCTTCATCTTTGATCTCATACCTGAAACAAAAAATGAGACAAATATTTCAACACTGTTACCATGGTTACTGGTCTGAAAATACAGTTCATCCAACCCAAGATAAAATACAAACCTTAAACATAAATACATTGCCTTTGCTTGTTTTTCATGGTTTACAATTACATATCATGCTTTCAAAACCATTACACATGACAACAACCAACAAACACTTGATCTCATGAAGTGACATATTATATGCTAAGTGTCAAACATGGCAAAACAATGGTCAAACAGATGCAAAATACAACTGAAGGGCGTGTGCTGCTAAGAATATTTACAAAGTCAGTTCTGATTATATACTAATACTAATTAGCCTGCGAGAAATTACTTAGCAAACTTTTTGAGGTGGAATCCACTGATTAAATATCGTTCAAGTGACAATTTGAAGTATAGACACTCAGTTATACCACAACAAACCCATACAAATATTGTGGCAGGATACTGTTGAATCAGTGTATGTTCTGAAATTTTATGGAATCTGTGTACCAGAGGATTATTGACAATCATGTTTACCTGTATGTTAGAAATGCATACACCAATAATTTTTGCGTTTATTATTATTAGGAAAATCACTGTGAGTGAGTATGGTGATATTGTATGAAATCAGTCATTTGTAGCTGAGATATGTATCTTTCTATTTCCCAGAGAGATGACTTCATGTAACATATATTATTTTGTAGATACTGTTTAAACAGGTGTTCTGAAACATAAGAAATCTGAATATTATTATGATTACTGAGTTTTAAGTTGTATACACTGTTCGTTCGTGTATCATGTGTTTTATAGTGTTATAAATGTATGCCAGAGGTGTAAACTAGTACAGATTTGCTTGGTGGCACTTTCATTTGAAACTACAGTAGAACACGGATATAACGAACTCCAAGGGACCAAGAAATTTAGTTCGCTATATCCGTTGTTCGTTATTCACATTTGACCACCATCTTGGATTGTAGAGATGTAGACATTCACAGACATTACTTATATCATGTTGATAAATATGAAGTTTATTTTAATAATAAAATTGAAATAATACAACTACAACTTAAATAAATTTATTTTTTAATGAAAATGCAAGCTAACATTTATAATGTCCAGATAAACCACGAAAGAAGCAAAAACTGTAGCGATTTTTTTTCCATTTGTGACATGTCATAACATGCCCCTGCCTTTTTCTTTTATATTTTCATTTTTATGTAATCAGGCTTTCCGTTCGTTAACATGACACAACAACGGAAATACCTCCGTTTTCGAAGCGATTTTATTGGATAAAGATTGGTTTCTAATGACGCTTTTTCGCCACAGTCTGCTATAAGGATCGTGATTGGTCAAAATCAGACACGTGACCTAAGGCAGCCAATCACACTATGGCAATGGATACCGTCCTCGTCAACAAAAACGGTTGTTGAATGGGTTAAACACGATATGTTTGTTTTGTTAATTAATTAATGACCATCAATCAATGTTGATTCACCGCCAACAAGATTGATGTATACTGTACCCCTAAGTGGCTGAGCTGACACTGAGTGAGTTCGCTAATCCCGTCGTTAATTGGGTCTTGGGGGTAGTAAATCAGTTCGCTATAGCCGTTAATTCGCTACTCACGAGTTCGTTATTCGCGTATAGTTTTAATTATATTATAAAGGACTGTTGACGGGACTTTTAAATTTGTTCGCTATATCCGTTTGTACGCTATATCGGTGTTCGCTATATCCATGTTCTACTGTAGTAACAAAATATGCTATGTATTTTCTAGAACCGTAGAAACTTCTTTTAATTGCTTAGTGGTTTGCATCATTAGACATTATTGATTACAAATTATCTCCCCTTATAAACAAGCCATTTAGGCAACTGGTGATGCGCTCACAGAGCACATGTCAGTTAGAGCAACGTGCAACGGTCAGAGAGAGAGAGAGTACATTTTGCCCAACTTTTCTTCAGGTAGGAAATTATATATTATGCAAAAGAATGTTCACAATATATTTTAATGACTACTACTTCATTAATATTAGCAACTTGTGGAGTATTGTATTTATCTTTTCAAATATCTTCACATGCACGCTTTGGAAGATTCCATTTTATTTCGAAGATAATATATCATGAACATAAACTTCCTGGAGTCTTAGAGAAATATTCAGTCATGCCTTCTTAGTTAGTGAAGTGAGTTTTCTAAGAATTAAACATGTTTTCAGGCCCTGACTACTTCTAAGATATGTTCCATTGTCAAGTATTTCAAAGACTAAAACAGTAGTTCCAAAATCGTTTATGTTTGATTATGGAAAAATGTGATCGATTGCTAGGTCTTTTGGTAACTGCGACCAATCTTCGATTATTTCAATTAATTGGAACACCACTACAGAGCATAATGTGCTGCACATCACTATGAAGACTTCTCTACGTTTTTCTTTTGTAATGGCACATATTTTGCACATTGGAATTTTTTAGTTTAGTTTACGCCAAACTCAGCAATATTCCAGCTATATGGCGGCGGTCTGTAAAATAATCGAGTCTGGACCAGACAATCAAGTGATCAACAGCATGAGCATCGATCTGCGCAATTGGGGACCGATGATACATGTCAACCAAGTCAGCGAACATGACCAACCGATCCCATTAGTCGCCTCTTACGACAAGCATAGTCACCTTTGTGGCAAGCATGGGTTGCTGAAGACCTATTTTACCCCGGATTTTCACGGGTCGAATTTCTTTTCTTTTTTTCTTAAGAGAGGGACAAAATGACTAACAGACAAACTCTTTCTTCCATATCCCCTATCAACATTGTTGTGGAGAAAATAAACATAAAACAAAAGCCATGATGAAAAATAATACACTTACAGGTTTTTCTTGTTTCTGAACTTCTTTGCACTGAAAATATTTAGGATAGTATATTCAGCCATGAAAAGTGAATTAGTACATGACATAGTAAATGTTGCATTATTCAAAGTTACATAAATCAGCACTATTCCAGCTATGACAAGGAAGCCAGAAAAAAATCAAAACTGTGGCTGATGGCACAAGAGGGGATTCAACAGTGAGTGAGTGAGTGAGTGAGTATGGTTTTACGCCGCGTTTAGCAATATTCCAGCAATATCACGGCGGGGAACATCGAAATGGGCTTCACACATTGTACCCATGTGGGTAATCGAACCCGGGTTTTCAGCGTGATGAGCGAACGCTTTAACCACTAGGCCACCCACCACCCCAACAGGATTCATGCACTAGAGGTTGATGACACACACTCTGCAAGGTCTCATGTCAGAATAACCTATTCCTCAGGCCAGACTGGTTTTTGGTTTTTTTTAAATTCATTAAAATGCCAACCACCTGAAAGTTTATATGTCCAAAAAATGGAAAGCAGACTTCAGTACATGTTGTTCCTGATGTTATAAACATGATCAACAAAAAAAGAAAATTCAATTCTAAACTGAAAAAACATATTCCTTTCCAATCTACTTTAGAATTTCGGGGAAATATACAGAAAAACACATTTGAAAATAGATATTTATATTTATATTATTTTGACATCAATCGGATTTGGGTGGCATAAAGTCTGTAAATCTCCATCTCAAACAACAGTTTGGCCTCAGTTTAATCAAAAACGTGGGGTACTGGAATCTAATTCTGATTGACAAAGCCACATGTTTTTGGAAAATTCTGAGTCCAGATTAACAGACTTACACTGTGCCAAAATTGTTATTAATATAAACACCATAAACTTTTTTTAAACAAACTTGAAAGTTGTCAATGTTACTCCAGTCATACTTCAGTCTGTGATTGCCGATGGTCTGAAGCCTCAGTGGAGCCAATTTCTCTTTGTCTCATAAACTCAGCTTAAACATTATTTCACACTATGTAGGTGTGTGAGTATAATCATTCAAAGCATTAGGAAAGCAGCTCAAAATATGGTGCTCATTACCCAAAAATCATATTTCAAGTAGACCCAGACTTGGTAGAGGTAAGGGATACAACTCTGCACATGACACTTTACAATCTAAGTTAAGGAGTATTCACACGTTTTTAGCAAACCTTATATCACAAAAGTCTATAGTAACAAAACATATTTCCATAGAAGTCATATTTATTTTAGGAAAATATCTTAATATCTTCCTTTTCTAATGATTTATTAGAATGAGTGAGCCAAATAGCATAAACAGAAACCTTTACACTTTTGACATATTGGTGATTCTTGACTCTTTTTTTCCTGTAGTTAAGTAAGCACTGAGCTCTATCTGACAAAGGCAATTCTGAATCCACTTCATAGATGCTTTGTATCTATGACTAAAGATAAGCCCAGACAAATGGGTCGTAATTCCCAAGTGACGACTTTACTGCTGATATTATTTTAGTGGTATTGTGATGAAGCACCGAGCAGGTCTGTCTTGTAGGTCTGTGTATTGGCAAATAAATTGTTTTGCAACATATTGCGATTTAGGTACCTGTATTGCGATATGTATTGCAATATATTGGGAACTAAGGTGTTTGACAGTAGGTGACATTAATTGTACATGTCGATCCAATTTTCTACATTATCAGTCCCTAAAAATAATTGTTATGGCTCTGATAACTTAGGTTGCATAGCCAAGGACTCTGTTGACTTTTTTTATAAATTTATATTTTTGTCATTGAATAAGGAAGTAAAACATCTGTTGTGAAGGAAAGTCTGTGCAGATTTTAATTTAAACCATAAAGATAATCACAAAAACTTCTTTACCCAATATACCTGTTCTCAGAAGAAATATTACAATACCCTACCATTTGAAAAGCACACTGCGGTATACCGGTAAACTGGTAATAACGTGCAGTCCTAGCGTCTTGTCTATATGAGTACCTCAGAATATCAACAATGAACAGCTCTCTAACTTGATGGCATAACATGCTCTGACATATATAATCTATCATCTGTCAGTAACAGCAAACATACTATATATGTGTTCAAATGAATTTTCCTGTTTCTGCAAAGTGCACTTTTCTTCACATGAAAAGCAAACTTGAAACCTAAACACTACAAAAGGACATTTGTTCTGACTTAACATGGATTCAGCATGTTAAATATATATTATTCTTTCAGGTGACAGCTAATGTGATTATGGCAGAAACAGCTGAATTAACTTGAATGTGTAACTATTGGCAAAATTTCAAACTGTCTTTACCGGGTATGGCCATGAACTTAGTTTTTCCCAGACATATCAGGTAATCAGACAACAACGGGAATATATTTTAGGTCTCCTCCACAATTTACTTTCTAAATTATTTATTTTCTTTTGTTTCCAGTGCAAATTACATAATCTGACTTCAACATAATTTAATGTTTTGTTGCAAACAGATATAATCAAAATGCATGAATGGAGAGGGATCTGACTGCATAAATATAATAATCGAAACCCAAACAATCCCAGTTTATTTATAGAACTTCCACCTCAACCAGCGTACCAAATGTCAAGAAGCAACTTTGCCAAGGTGTCATTTCCACACTGCAAGTCTTCTTTCAACTCTATCCATCTGCCATACTGTGCACCAATATCAATCGCAGTATTTTCTTCCTTTACCGGTGCATTTGAGTCTGTCGGTACGGGTTCGGCAGGCGAAAGTTGTCCTTCCGCCGCCATATTGAATACCCTCGTTACTTCCGGTTGCGCAGGCGCTATAAACTTTCAATTTTTTCGGTGTCAATGACCTAGACTTTATTGCAAAGAAACACATTGTTCTTCATTTTAATGGTATATGCGTATTACAAGATATTCAATCAAGCCCATTTCAGTTCATTAATCAACCCAAAAAATCCATAAAAATATCTTGAACCCAAATAAGGTTCCGTAAAGAGGGGAGATGACTCCTTTGTATCGTGAAAAAAACAAATTGAAATTTATAAACGACGTACATTTACACAGTTCTACTCTTCGAGCCGTGTATAAATCCGCTTTCAACTTTGCATATACGATGTACAACAAAAACGCTAAATTTTTAAACATTAAAATGCATTTGTAAAGTTTGATCATAAAGAAATATCAAACACATTTTTTTCAATACTTTCACGCAAAACACAGAAACAAAATATGCATTAGTACTTTCACTTCAGTATTGAAAATAGTATTTAGAAATCAATCATATAAACAAAAAAACACAAATCCTAATTATTTTTCAAGACAATTTAAGTAATTTGGTGTGTCACCTTTCTCCATCCTTGCTGAAGCAGCGCCGCAAATGGTCCGTAACATTTCAGTTCTTAATTCTAACAACCAAACGCACAAAAATATACTATTTAAAAGGATATTCATTAGGGTTGTAGGATTATTTAAAGAGGAAATTCAATGACTGCCAAATCAAAATATATCGCGTGAATCCTACCCTGTTCTCATGGCAACCCCGAAGTTTTTTAGCCATACTCCTAGTCAGCGTCCAATGTCAACTTGGTCCATTCCATCCCATTCTCCCTGCAGTGATAAGATAAAGTTACAACATTTTGAAGTTATTGAAATCATCAAACGTCAAACGATAACACTTCAGGTCTCATAAAAAATGAAAGGCAACCTATCGGGTTTACACGAAAAAATTGGTTTGCTATAATTGCTACACGCCTGGGTTTAAAAAATTATGTTTGCCCAACGACGATTGGCCCAGCGCTGCACCTTTTGACACCAACGTCTTGCAGTCATGTGACGTTCCGTCAAACGTGGACGTCGGCATGCAAGTTCCACCATTGCAACCGATTACGAATCGTCTGTCTACCCACTTTAACACCTGTACATAGCTCTGTGAAGCTCATCTTCACTTTGAGAGTCACTTTGACCACGGATTCGTAACACAGCCGTTCTGATGAAACATTGGTTGGTTGGTTTTATAGTTTATGGGCGACGTGTGTTGTGCCAATAAGAGGCCTATTTACGCCCAACACATTGACTTGATTTATTATAAATCACAGGTTATTATCGACGAAAGGAATCGTTTAGATAACATAAACGAGACGTAAAAGTAATCACTTCCATTTCTGAAACAGGAAATACTCATTCATTAAAAAGCAGTAGGAGTGTTAACATTATTTAAAATCACAGAACTAAGCCATTTGAGAACCTGTCTAAATTGCATTCGTATTTACCAGATGATGAGACAAACTCTCAAACTGCCCGTTGCATAGACCCATACATGATGTTGGGGGCCCAATACTGTTACTAAAGAAAACCTATCATCAACTTCAAGTACAGACCTTTTGAGATTTTGTCTTATGCTGTTATCATAGTGCCCAGGGTATGTAATTAGATAGTGTTCAGTATTTTCAGGCGTCTCCAAATTGCAATGGCCACATTTAGAAGAGCCAGTCTTATCAATAATATTCCTGTAGGCATTTAGCCCACAGTGTCTAAGTAGGAGACGCGTCAGAATGATCTCATCACGCCTTTCACGACGACGAATTTTTATGACCAGATTTTAAATATGGTCTAAGTTTGTACATATGTCGGCCGGTAGTACCTGCATCCCATAACTGTTGCCAACTCCTTGTAACATAAGAAAAGCAAGATTTAAGGATGTCAGCACTTCTTTATTGTGAATAACACGACGTTTCGGAGTGTATGCTTGCTACTTGTAACATATGCTAAGCAGCAAAAGAAACGTCAGCTCGGAATTTTCCTTCGCCGAAACGGATAACTGTAAACTCATTTAATGTTTTGATTGTATATTTTTGACAACATCTCCAACTTTACCTGAGCAAAGACATTCCTTCCCAAACTCAGAATGGAACCCAGGAAATGGTCTCAAAAACGCAACCTGATCTCGGAGATGGTACGGTGTTCTCCATGTTTTTCATGCAACTCTTGCTGCACGTTCTGTTCACAAGGACCAGCCCTATAAAATGCACCCCCAAACCTGGTTGAAACATTCACATTACAACGTCAGCAGGATGCCGCGACAGCTGAGAGGACCCAGGCGCTAGGAAGACTTGAAGCTGGCCACATGGCACAAGCCGTTGCCAATCAACGTTCGGACCATCTACAGGCTGCAGCAACTTTTCCGGGCCACCAACATCGCCACAAATGATCGCCCCTGTACTGGTAGACCAAGGGTCACCAGACTCACCACAAAACGACAAGACCGCCATGTTGTGCGACAGCATGTACAGAATCCCTTCATCCAGGCATCCGAAACAGCACGCCAGACAGTGGGAACACACGGAAGGCCAATCAGTACTGGCGATACAGGCAATGGAGAACTGTTCTGTTCACAGATGAGAGTCGGTACTGCGTATCAACTGCAGATGGCAGAACAAGAATATGGCGACGACGTGGCCAGCGTTACTCAGACCAATGTGTTATGGAAAGAGACTCATGGGGAGGTGCAAGCATCATGGTATGGGGTGGAATAGGCCTGAACCAGAGAGTGGTGTCCTATATATGGTGTTCCAGAACCTTGGTCCAGGGTGAGGAGGCGGCATCACAGCGGTGCGCTACATCGACCAAGCTCTCAGACCCCACGTCATACCACATTTCGCACGTCACCGGAACAACATTTTCCAGCATGATAACGCCCGGGCCCATACTGCCAGAGCTACACGGCACTTCCTACAGCAGAACGATGTCAACATTATGCAGTGGCCAGCCCTTAGTCCTGATTTAAACCCAATTGAACATGTTTTGGATGAAATTCAGAGGAGACTGAATAATGTCATACCAAGGCCGAACACAGCCGATTTTTTTGCACCAGGCCTTTCTCAGAGTGTGGTTCCAGGTGCCAATGATTTGATTACAATGCCTATCTAATTTTGAATTCGTACTGACGTTTTTTTGCTACTGAGTATATTTCGATAAAACGTTTTCAGGATATACATTACAGTAATCCGGATTTGGCCAAATTATCTGCTATATCATTCCCATGTATTCCAGTATGTCCAGCATCCAACTTTAATATCTCATGAACAATGTCATCTCTGGATCCATTTGCACCAGCTTCTATAGCTTTAATTGCTGCCATGGAACCTATAAGGATAACTACTGCTTCATGGTCGTTCTTCTACCTATCTCAAGGATTGCAAAGTGGACAAAAGTTCAGCTGCAAAAACCGAAAGGGAATCTGAACACCTTTGCGATCGAGAAATCGGGTATCCAAAAAGTCAACGATGAAACGGTCTTGTGCGCCAGTTGTCGCCCCTGGTCGACCACATCGACGTCTGTCATTAATTCTATCTGTCTGTCGATATATGGATTGTAAATTACTAAATTACTGACTTTGAAGCTCGTTCGTGAACTTAAGCTCGGACCACAATGCTCTGTCCAGTTCGGGGCGGTGAGGTAGCCTATAATATAGTGGTTACTTAAAGGCGTTCGATCGTCACGCCGGAGATCCGGGTTCGATTCCCCACATGGGTAAAATGTGTGAAGCCCATTTCTGGTGTCCCCCGCAGTGATATTGCTGGAATATTGCTAAAAGTGGCGTAAAATCATATTCACTCACTCACTCTTACTACTTCAAACGTCTAACGTCCCGCTTACACGTGGCTGTTCCTGTCAGACGCTGCATGTTAAAATACGTTTCAAACAATATCAAAACAACTTTCGGTCTGGTTTTTATCACTGAAATGTAGAATAACACACTGACACGTTTTACGGTAAATTTGGAATTTTATCCCGACTATGTTCACGTGCACATCATACAAAAACACAAAAACGCTTTCGCGAAATTGCGTGCTTGCATGAAATTCATAGCACCTTGTGAATGGAATAATTCCTAATTCCGTATACAACCAAACAACATAATTCAAATTTTAATCGCATACATTCATCATGCGTATGTTGAAAGTCACAGAAACTGTCGCAAATCAAAACACTTTTCAAAATATTTACGTTGTTATTAAGAAAATATTGCCCAAAGAGCACCTGTGCATTTTATATTGTATGTTATCTGGTAGTTTATTCATGTCTTAGAGGTGTTTTATAGTCACTTGGATTTGCACGCAGTAGATCACCTTGTAGATGTGGATATTTCTCACGTATATGGGGTTATTTTTGCCACTTTACGAATTTGTACATAGCCGGCTGTATCTGTTTATTGTTACCTTTGGGTAGCTTATGTTCAGCTCTATATTTTGGTACTTCCATCTTGGATAGCGGGTTAGTTGTTAGTTTGCTAGTTGTGTTTTCCTTATTTTAGAAAACACAGTTCAGGTTATTCCCGGTGGGGCAGCGCAGGCGCAGATGCTCCCTCCGGCGTCCGTGCCTCTGGTTAAGGGGCCTATGGCTAAGCTTAACCAAACACAGTCAACGATATTCTATACCAATATACTAAGCCATCGGACCAAGGCAACTTGGGGAGATGGGTTGGATCTCGTCTCACAACGATATTCGCAGAAATGATAAAATTAGACACACTATCGAAGCTGTCTGTAGAAAGTCTATTCCCTTCAGAAAAACAACAACAAAACAAGAGATAAAAAGCAAAATCAAAGCACCCATAGCCCAAAGATGGCAGGCCCAGTGGGACTCATGTAAGATCGACAGATGGCTGTACAAAATTCTACCCAATCCGCTAAGATTCATACACATACTAAAATGAAATAAGAGTTGAAGAAGGCATCTCATCTCGGTCACAAGGTATGCCGACCTTATGACAAGGTATGCCAA